AAGTAAATTTATACCTTGTAGGGTTTTAGTATAAATACATGGTGAATTGATGTATTTGATACGATTGAGGATAATAAAAAGATCCCTCAGCCGCCGTGGACGTAGGCACATTGCCGAACCACGTAAATCTTGTGTTTTTTACTTTTCTTGTTTTTAATTCGTGTGTCATATTGTCATCTTCACTCAACACTGACTAATTCGGAATCGAGTCGGGTAGGACCACAAAGGGCGGCAAAGTTCTCCTTCAAGAGTTTTAACACTGTTGCATTCTCAAGGTTCGAACACGAGACCACTGGTTAAGCTGGAAGAGACTCAAGCCATCTCATCCATGTGTTCTTGAGTGAGTCTTTTCCTATTCATTTACATACTTTTTTCCCTAAGGGGTTGTTTGGTTTGAGGGATTTGGAGTGGAGGGGAGGAGAGGGAGAGGAGAATTTTAATTTTCACTTGTTTGGTTGCAAAATTAAGAGGGGAGGGAGAGAAAAATTTTAAGTGATTTTTCCTCCCCTCCCCTACTTTTTCTCCCCTCCAAAATTAGAGGGATTTGGAGGGGAAGTGATTTGTGATGATATAAAATTACATTTTAGCCCTTATTTTCAATTGTTTTTAAATTTTTATTTTATTTCATTAAAGGTAAATTTGTCATTTTAGTTTTATTTTCCCTTCTTCAACCAAACAAGGTTTACCATTTTCCCTTCCTTCCCCTCCTAAATAATCCATCCAAACAAGGTAAAATTATTTTACATCACCTCCCTTCCCCTCTCTTTTCCTCCATTAAAATCCCTCCCCTCCCTTCCCCTCCATTGAACCAAACACACCCTAAGAGAAAAAATCTTTTTCACCCCATAACAAAGACAAATTACGTTTTTCACACCGTCTAATAAAAAGCTAAGTTTTTTACCCCAGAAAGTGCGAAGGTTATGCAAAAACTGTCGCATATTCATCGCATAACTGTCTTGTTGACGAGTGTTTTCGGTCAACGGTTAAGATTAAGTGAATGAAAAGTACAGG